TACACCGAGTCTTTAATGTGCTCCCTCAGCAACACCTGTACACCGAGTCTTTAATGTGCTCCCTTCGGCAACACATGTACACCGAGTCTTTTATGTGCTCCCTAATCAACACATGTACACCGAGACTTAAATGTGCTTCCTCATCAACACCTGTACACCGAGTCTTTAATGTGCTCCCTCAGCAACACCTGTACACCGAGTCTTTAATGTGCTCCCTCATCAACACCTGTACACCGAGTCTTTAATGTGCTCCTCATCAACACCTGTACACCGAGTCTTTAATGTGCTCCCTCATTAACACATGTACATCGAGTCTTTAATGTGCTCCCTTCAGCAACACCTGTACACCGAGTCTTTAATGTGCTCCCTTCGGCAACACATGTACACCGAGTATTTTATGTGCTCCCTAATCAACACATGTACACCGAGACTTAAATGTGCTTCCTCATCAACACCTGTACACCGAGTCTTTAATGTGCTCCCTCAATAAAAACCTGCACACCGGGTCTTTAATGTGCTCCCTTCAGCAACACCTGTACACCGAGTCTTTAATGTGCTTCATTAACATGTGAATCTTTAATGTGCTCCCTAATCAACACATGTACACCGAGACTTAAATGTGCTTCCTCATCAACACCTGTACACCGAGTCTTTAATGTGCTCCCTCATTAACACCTGTACACCGAGTCTTTAATGTGCTCCCTCAATAAAAACCTGTTCACCGAGTCTTTAATGTGCTCCCTTCAGCAACACCTGTACACCGAGTCTTTAATGTGCTCCCTCATCAACACCTGTACACCGAGTCTTTAATGTGCTCCCTTCGGCAACACATGTACACCGAGTATTTTATGTGCTCCCTAATCAACACATGTACACCGAGACTTAAATGTGCTTCCTCATCAACACCTGTACACCGAGTCTTTAATGTGCTCCCTCATTAACACCTGTACACCGAGTCTTTAATGTGCTCCCTCATCAACACCTGTACACCGAGTCTTTAATGTGCTCCCTTCAGCAACACCTGTACACTGCGAGTCTTTAATGTGCTCCCTTCGGCAACACCTGTCACCAACACCTGTACACCGAGTCTTTAATGTGCTCCCTCATTAACACATGTACACCGGGTATTTTATGTGCTCCCTAATCAACACATGTACACCGAGACTTAAATGTGCTTCCTCATCAACACCTGTACGCCGAGTCTTTAATGTGCTCCCTAATCAACACATGTACACCGAGACTTTTAATGTGCTTCCCCTCATCAACACCTGTACACCGAGTATTTTATGTGCTCCCTAATCAACACATGTACACCGAGACTTAAATGTGCTTCCTCATCAACACCTGTATACCGAGTCTTTAATGTGCTCTCTTGTTAACACCTGTACACCGAGTCTTTAATTTGCTCCCTCATCAACACCTGTACACCGAGACTTAAATGCGTTCCCTTCAGCAACATCTGTACACCGAGTCTTTAATGTGCTCCCTCATCAACACCTGTACACCGAGTCTTTAATGTGCTCCCTTCGGCAACACATGTACACCGAGTATTTTATGTGCTCCCTAATCAACACATGTACACCGAGACTTAAATGTGCTTCCTTCGGCAACACCTGTACACCGAGTCTTTAATGTGGTCCCTCATTAACACATGTACACCGAGACTTAAATGTGCTTCCTCATCAACACCTGTACACCGAGTCTTTAATGTGCTCCCTCATTAACACATGTACACCGAGTCTTTAATGTGCTCCCTTCATCAACACCTGTACACCGAGTCTTTAATGTGCTCCCTCAGCAACACCTGTACACCGAGTCTTTAATGTGCTTCCCACCGAGTCATTCCTAATCAACCTGTACACCGAGTCTTTAATGTGCTCCCTCATCAACACCTGTACACCGAGTCTTTAATGTGCCCTCATCAACACCTGTACACCGAGTCTTTAATGTGCTCCTTCATTAAACACCTGTACACCGAGTCTTTAATGTGCTCCTCATTAACACCTGTACACCGAGTCTTTAATGTGCTCCCTCATCAACACCTGTACACCGAGTCTTTAATGTGCTCCCTCATCAACACCTGTACACCGAGTCTTTAATGTGCTCCTTCATCAACACCTGTACACCGAGTCTTTAATGTGCTCCGAGTCTTTAATTCAGCAACACCTGTACACCGAGTCTTTAATGTGCTTCCTTCATCAACACCTGTACACCGAGTCTTTAATGTGCTCCCTCATCAACACCTGTACACCGAGTCTTTAATGTGCTCCCTTCATCAACACCTGTACACCGAGTCTTTAATGTGCTCCCTCAGCAACACCTGTACACCGAGTCTTTAATGTGCTTCCTTCATCAATACCTGTACATTCAAGTCTTTAATGTGCTCCCTCGGGCAACACCGAGTATTTTAATGTGCTCCCAACACAATACACGTGAGCAATGTGCTTCCTCGTACACCTGAGACACTTAAATGTGCTCCTTCATCAATACCTGTACACCGAGTCTTTAATGTGCTCCCTCATTAACACATGTACACCGGGTATTTTATGTGCTCCCTAATCAACACATGTACACCGAGACTTAAATGTGCTTCCTCATCAACACCTGTACGCCGAGTCTTTAATGTGCTCCTTAATCAACACCTGTACACCGAGTCTTTAATGTGCTCTTCCTTCGGCAACACCTGTACAACGAGTAAATCATCTACTTCTACGATCAACACATGTACACCGAGACTCTAAATGTGCTTCCTCATCAACACATCAATGTACACCGAGTCTCTTAATGTCAATACTCACAACCCTTGTTAACACCTCACAATACCTGCATCACCATCCACTATTTCCAATACCTACGGCCCACACCATCCACTATTTCCAATACCTACGGCCCACACCATCCACTATTTCCAATACCTACGGCCCACACCATCCACTATTTCCAATACCTACGGTCCACACCATCCACTATTTCCAATACCTACGGCCCACACCATCCACTATTTCCAATACCTACGGCCCACACCATCCACTATTTCCAATACCTACGGCCCACACCATCCACTATTTCCAATGCCTAAGGCCCACACCATCCTCTAATTTCATTACATACTATCCACATCATCCACTATTTCCCAACATACTATCGTCCACACCATCCACTAATTTCCAATTACATACTATTCACACCATCCACTACAGCTTGTATACCAGCCATCAACTGACGGCTACTCTACATGTGCATGACCCGGAGGTTCCAACCTGGCTGGCCCACACCATCCACATTTCCAACGGCATCGACACCGTCCACTAATTTCATTACATACTATTCACACCATCCACTACAGCTTGTTCAGCCTCAACTGAGCTACTCTACATGTGCATGACCCGGAGGTTCCAATGGCACAAACGGCAGATCGGGTTATCTTCATTCAATAGGGGTGCGGAGAATGTTATTAATGTTGCGTTCGTGTGAAGCATACATGGATGCATACATAGATTTCGTTACAGAACTTGTCCCGGAAAACAACACTTCTGAAAAAACAACAATCATGTCATGTTTTAAGTGAATTGTTTATACAGTCATATGCTATCTAGTTTGGTTTGCTAACTTTACAAGGTACAGACCTCAGTTACTTTCACAATCCGATACACTCTCGCTGTTACTCTCTACACCCAGTTCAATTATCACTTTTTTATTTCATGTTCAACTGCAATATTTCTCTCCCAGTAGTCGCTTTCCAAATTTTCAACATGGGCACTACAATCATTCCACTCGTTTACACCAATCAACTGACAAAGGTGCACCCCTTCACTATCATCCTTTGGTACAGAAACTGTCACGTTTAACGAAAATTGTATTATCCCTGTTTTAGTTATACATTTATCTTATATTCATATGCATATAAGCCAAAATGGAACTTTGTATTTATCAAAATATAGGTATGTTCTCGATATCATTTTGTATGATTTATGAGAATAAAATCCTGAGTCCTGAGTCCTGAGTCTACAATAATTGACCCAACCAGCTGTGACACGGTCACGCAATTCATTCGTATTCACTTGATCGGGTCAAGCTGCACAAGCTATAATTTCATTACATACTATTCACACCATCCACTCTATTTACATAACCTTCTCCTCTCTTTATCAACTGTTTTAATTTATCGTCCAGCAGTATCCACTACCAATATCTAATGCCAACATATCCACTATTTTATTACCTTCACCAACGACTATCCACTAGGTCCTTTTATTCCTACCTATTATCTACGCTATTATCAACTACCAGCATTATACACTCTGTATTACCTATAATCGGCATTATCAATTTCGTAAAGTTCAAGGCGCATTATCATTTTCTACCTTGGTATACTTGTGTCTGAGAACAACCGTAACTATTATCATAATTATCATAAACCATAGTTTGTATGCGTCCTATTCACGCTGCCCTTTCCAATTACCACCAGCCAGTGTCCTATATCGATCACGAAAGTCAACCACACTGTCCCGAGAGTCATTAATTAAATGCAACTGCGCATAACTACACCGACCTGTTCAACATCTATATTTGTGGTTATGTTTACACTGTCAGTTACAACAGACTTTATCAGCCATTGGGGGTCTGGATTTAAATCAGAACGTCACCCTCTTTATCTTTTCTCCAAATCTGTGCCTTTCGGGGCTTGGTATAGAATGGGAATCAAAAGAGAAATATCGTTTTAGCTGTATAAGTGTTCACGTCAGAATCAAGTCACCCAAGTTTAGAGTACACTCCGTGCTTAATCTACCCCTCCATAGAAAGGGAAGCGTTAACGGTAGCGTCATCTGGCATTCATAGTTCGGAGTTGTTACTTTCACTTTCCCGATTAGAGATCGCAGTTAATTGAAGCTTTCCCCTCCCTGTCCTTCTGAAGCCCAAACCGCGAGCGGTGGTCACGTGACCGTGCGTTTACATGTAGCCCAACGCGCCAGCCCGGCTCATTCAGTGCTTGCCTTCATGGAATCGGCGCTGTGTAGTATTTTGTGTGCAGGTAGTGACTCGGCGGAGGGATATAGGATTAGCTTACTTCAAAGCACATCAAAGGGCGCGTGGTTTTATCTCTATAAGAGCAGACGACACTTTAAGCAAAATGGAAGCTACGAAAGCGAGCAGACGAGAAATGAGTGAAATTGAAGATTTTGTAAAAGATTGAATTTTAAAGAAAGGATTTCGAAGTGGGACAGAGATTTAGTAAACTATGTTGAATGTCTTGTCCCTCCTGACGGGGGTATGTGTCTGTGTGGGGGTAGTGTGCGCGGGGAGGGGGACAGCGTTCCGGAACGATTACCTCGTATCCGACAGAGCAGATGAATACGATCCAGAAGATTTCCCTAATCTGAGCACGAATGGAGACGAGGTAAGTCTAAAACTTATTTCAACTGACTTTATTCGTTAATAGTATGCTGCTTTATGTTTTATTCTTTACAGGACTTGAGGTAGATTAATCATCTCAAGTGTTTCTTTGTGGTATTTTTATGTGGTGTCTCCTAACTTTGACTGTTATTTTCCTGAAACGCCTTATGTTTAAACATCTGCTAATATAAATATAGACAATAGTTTGAAATGCAACTCAATGACGTCCTTAAGGAATGTCAACGGAAAAATACAATAACAAATTTTTATTAACATTTTGTATTTTGTGTTCGTCTGGTGAATGGTTATTATTATATGAATATAAACAGATATACAGTACAAGTCATCAGATATGAATATAAACAATTATAAAGTACAAGTCATCAGATATGAATAGAAACAGATATACAGTACAAGTCATCAGATATGAACATAAACAATTATAAAGTACAAGTCATCAGATATGAATATAAACAATTATAAAGTACAGGTCATCAGATATGAATATAAACAATTATGAAGTACAAGTCATCAGATATTAATATAAACAATTATAAAGTAAAGGTCATCAAATACAGATGAATAATGAATGTTTGATAATGTCCGAGCGTTTATTAATCAACCTGGGTGCCGTTGTACAAAACAACCTTAGCTCTAAGACTACCTAAGTCTATGTTAAGGTATGGTCATCTTAGCGCTAAGATCGCTTTGTACAACGGCACCCAGACATAGGAATGGTATCTCTAAATTCATGGATTTGTAAATTTGATCACAATCCCCTTCACATGCATGGTTCATATACATATATATGATAGACAGGATAATGTACAGAAACTCCACACAATCTCACCCGTACATACTGAATATTGTGACCTGTGATCTCAACTGACAACCCGTGATGACCCCCATAACTACGTCATCAACATCACCATACAACTACACCACAACGTTCCTATATACGTCGTTCATCGTTCGATGATGTTTTGCGCACATTGGATTAGCCCAATACTGTTATTTACTCATCAACGATAGAATGATAAAACATATCAGGGTTATAAATAGAGGGGGTGGTTTGGGGGCGCACCATCCACGTTAAAACAGTGTTATATCACTAGTTTGATGCACACAAATTAATCTGTAAAAAGATTCTAGGGGTCAGCTGCTCCCTGCTCCCCAGGGCTCCCTACGGCCCTGCGCATATATACATTTTTGTTGAACAATATTGGTGGCAATTGATTTAATACCGACCGTATCATAGTAGTTGGTTTGGATCTTTCCGCGACACATTTCACTCTCGATTATTTTTGAAAACATTTATCAAGTAATTCAAATAATTATGTCGTCACTAAAGGCATTGATTTTACATGAGTGTAATTATCAAAATATTGACGTTAAAAATAATCCATATGCATTTCAGTGTACGTGAAATATATATCTCATATCGGTCATAACGTTTGTTCTTTTTCCAAAGTATAACAGCACTTTAGTATATCAAAACATGTTGTTTTTCACGTGATAACTGTCAAAACGTATACTACTATATTCTAATTGTATCAACCATGTGAAGGTATTCATCCTACATTTGACAACATAGTTATACAAGAAACAGACATGGGGGCATATCACACATTTTCAGATCATTCACATTTTTTGTGAATAGAAGAACCCTGATAATGTAGACATCTCCCATTACAGACAAAAGCTTTACAATTCTGATTGGATATCAATGGTCTAAGCAGAGCCGTTTTAGTTTAGACAAGTGTAGTTCCGTTTAGTTTCACAAATTGTTGACAAGAGAGCCTGATCATGATCATTTCAAACTTTGGACAATTTCACCAGTCTGGCTAAAAAGGCCGTAGTCACATGCAGAGGCTTACATACAGATATCACACTGGCTCCAGCAATAGATACAATGTTTATGGAGTTATGGCTTGATTTAGTTTCTTTGATATAAGCAGATTTGTAATTACGACAGTGGATCCCCGGAAGATTAAGTACCGAGGCATGATAAAACTATGAGATTATTAGCATTTGGTGATGAACTCAAAATCTCAAGAATCTGGAATTCTCTGAAGCTCCGATAGAGGGATTCTTTTATAGGTGTCTTTTGATAAAGGGTCATTTGATAGGTGACGAAATACAGATTACAACTTCCATCTGGGAATCTTGCAAGCAGTACGAGCAAATAAATATGCATGGCAAGGGCTGACAATCTAACACCAACCAAAGTGAATGAGGATATTTAAGTAGGTTAGAAAAGTAGACATATATATTTATTTTCTGGTGTTTTTGTCTGACCAAGATACATGCAGGCACATGTCATGGCATGTGATCGTCCTTGACATGAAAGAGTCTTAAGCAGGTACTGAAAAAACCCGTGGTAAACATGCTGGTTTAAAGTGTTCCATTATCAATGGAGGGATAAGTTTATATCTTAAATGTACTTAATATATAAGGTTTCATTTGATATTTTGATTGATGATGTCATTTATCTTGAAAGAAAGATGTATTTTATTTGAGATGCATCGTCTATATATTAATTGAGTCATAATTCAGACATTGTTTAACAAAATGTCTATGAAAACTTTCTTACAAATATCAGCATTGAAAATAGGTCCTGCGACATTTGACCACAACTATCTTTCAGACCAGTCCAAATCCACAATACTAACGCCTGTTGGGATTTATACCGACGTGTTTCTAGTCAAAGTGTTGCTGGCTCGATATGCCAAGTAGAGGAGCACGTGCAGTGAAACGTCGTTACGTTAAATTTGCCCGTAACAAATTTTGAACTGTTGAAACTTTATTGTTCTAGAATAACCATGTTATTATCCGCACAATGACTGTATGAAACTAAAGAAATGTCAACATTTTACAATTATCTCGAGGACATCGATATGACGAAGTTTAACTGGGTATAATGTAAACGCCATTAACAAAGATCATATATTTTAAATAAGGTTTATTTCTATAAGGGGAAAATTTATCTGTTCCAAATATGGCCATCCCTTTCATCATTCGTATCCCCGAAATTAGCAAAGTTTAAAATAAGGAAAACAAAATTATCCTACACCAAATGCGCTGATGGTCGATTAGCGATTTCTCTGAAATTCCACATGTGTGTCCGTCATTCAAGAAACAGACTGCAAGCAAACGGCAATAGGCGGACGGAGAGATATGGTCAAGCATTATATCTATAATGTTTGTACTCGGAGATGTCTGATTGTGTATGAAGCGTTATGGCCACACCTATCGCCTGACCAACCTGGGGATGCAATGTTATCAGATAGGGTACCCAGCACGATTGTAGTGCTCAGGGGAAATAGTGGCTTGTTTCAATTTGATAACAAATAAATATATTATCAGTCATATAAAGTTAGAACATAATATACAAAGCAGACTATTATTGCTGATACAGATAAGGAACTGGTCTTTGTTCCCTTGAACGTTAGTGTCAATATGTAATGATTATTCAATATCAGTAATAAACTATTTGTTTTAAGTTGGGTATAGCCATGATACCTCCATGAATACATGATACTTATTATAAAGGGATCATATGTAACAATTGTTAAATTTGGGGTAAAGAATAAATCCTAGCCCATTAATATTATGACTAGTTTGTTTATCGAACCGCTGGATATCTACATGTGCCGCAATATAAATGGAGCTTCTGAAATCTCTTACCTCTACTTAATGGATCCCATGGTGGGCTCAAAGCTTATCCTTTTGACGAAATCAGTTAAGCCATTTGAGAAACATTGCTACCCCATTGAATGGAAACATATTTATCGCCGTTGTAGAAACTCCTAAAACGGTTTGATGAAAAGCGTGAACCCTTCTTGAAAAACGTTTAACCTTATGATGAAAAACATTACCCACTCACATGAATCCAGTCGGCCCCTTTGGTGAAACCTCTTCATAATCACATCGACTGACAACACTTTAACTCTTTTGATGACACATACTCTGGCCCACTTTGGAGGTGGCAGACCCAACATAAAGGTTTACATCACTAATGTTATTTAGAGATTCAAAGACAACGAGCGATTCAATATATAGATTAGAGAGAGATTACATACCTGGTGGTTTTGTGTCTACGCATTTTTCTCAAGTTTATGAATAGTCCACACTAGGGGAAGATAATGTTACTGAGTTTTCGTACTTGTCCACTTAATTATATTCGAAATTAAAATGTGTATTTCTAAAAGACCTATTACAAGTGAATGTCTGGTAGTTCTGACACAACCGTTTGAAAACAGCCTGAGACGACAGTGTTTCACTCAGTACTGGCTGCCAAGGTTATCGTGTATAGTAGACAGGACAACATCGGTGTTAGTACATGTATTTTAAATTACGGAGTAGTATATCTCTACATGTGCTGCTTTCGCAGGTATGCCGACAAGATCAAATAGTTTACACTCAGAGGTGAGAATGTTCTCGCCAAGTGACGTTTACCTCCATTACCTCGGAGTGTTGAATTTGATACGAAACCATCAATATGAGGAAATAGCTGTGGACCAGACACCAGTTATTGCTACCATAATGTTTATTTCCCTGAGATGTCAAGACTCTGGAGAAAAATAATTTGTGCTTAGATTATAACTGGTTTTCTTCTTTAACTGATTCAGCAAATTCAGTTTGTATATAACTGATATGTTGAGAATATAACTGATATGTTGAGAATATAACTGATATGTTGAGAATATAACTGATATGTTGAGAATATAACTGATATGTTGAGAATATAACTGATATGTTGAGAATATAACTGATATGTTGAGAATATAACTGATATGTTGAGATATGTTGAGAATATAACTGATATGTTGAGAATATAACTGATATGTTGAGAATATAACTGATATGTTGAGAATATAACTGATATGTTGAGAATATAACTGATATGTTGAGAATATAACTGATATGTTGAGTATATAACTGATATGTTGAGAATATAACTGATATGTTGAGAATATAACTGATATGTTGAGATATATATAA